GAGGTGTTGTACAGTATGGCTCCATGACTACTTTTCAGCCATATATTTGCTCCTTCCTTCAGTGAATATTTTTGAGCATATATTTATTTTTAGGGTTTTTTTTTTTTGCCAGTCCTTGGGCACTGTTTCTGAGCTTCTCTGTGCTGAAGGCACTCTACCACTTGCGCCACAGCACCACTTCCAGTTTTTTCTTAGTAGTTTATTGGGGATAAGAGTCTCACAGACTTTTCTGCCCAGGCTGGCTTTGAACTGCAATCCTCAGATCTCAACATCATAATTACCTAAGATTACAGGCATGAGCCATGGGTGCCAGGATTCTGTGCATTTATTAAGGGTTTATATTGAAATAGGCATTTTAAGAGATGGGGGGAAAAGTTACAATCTTTGCCCTCCTTCTGCATCTCCTGTTCTAGTCCTCTGAATTTCCAACCACCCTCGGCCTTAATCCTTTGTCTCATCTCCTTTGATCTATATTCACTTCCCTCCAGAGCCCATGATAATCATACTATGCATAAATATCTTTTTTAAAGATATAGATCAGATTATGTTACTGTCATATCTAAATCTTCCAATAGGTTCCCAGTATACTCAATTAAATCTCAGTGCTTTATCATGTTATCTACAGATTGTTATGATGGTTCTAGATCTTCTTTCCTGTCTATAATGAAATTTGCACAATGACCAATTTATCAGATAGTTAGCTCTTGAGGAATGTCCTACCTATGTCCCTATGTAGCTTATGTCCAAATGTAGCCATTCTCCATATGGTTATCTGGCTTATGTAATATTCTGACAACAAGACATAATTTACTTGAATTGGCAGTTCTTGAAGTATAGATTATGCACAGTGCCATGGAAACACAAAGCATAGGAGATGTGGGAGGAGTGCTATTGATGGTACCAAGAAAGGTTTTTTTAGAAGGTACCAATATGATGTTTGTCTTAAATGGATGTTTTTGTCAGAAATTAACATAAAATGAAGAGGACATAGGAAGAAATAAGCCAAAGACATATGTACAGGATTAAAGAAGTGCCTGGTCCAAGTGACTAACTCAACAGCAGTGGATAATAGGTGTGAAGAAATGAAAAAGAAGGCCATAGTGTTGCCCTAAAACAATCTTTCAGTCTTTTAGATAACATGAAACTTCCTTAAATCTTTGCTCAGGAATGAATGGAATCATTCATTCCATTCAACAAATATGAGCCAAACATTTTATTAGCTAGAAAGTGTGTAGTGGTAGTTAAATCAGATTAGACTGCTCTTATAGATCCTTCAGTGTAATGGGAATAATAGGCAGATATGAGTAAATTTACAAATAAGTGATTTAAATTATGATAAATATCTTTAAAGATATGAGAATCCATCTGGCACTATTGGCTCATGCCTGTAATACTAGCTACTTAGGAGGCTGAGATCTGAGGGTCCCGGTTCAAAGCCAGCCCGGGCAAAAAAGTCCATGAGACTCTTTTTTTTGGGGGGGGGATCCGGTCGTGGGGCCTGAACTCTGGGCCTGGGCACTGTCCCTCAGCTCTTCAGCTCAAGGCTAGCGCTCTACCACTTGAGCCACAGTGCCACTTCCGGCTTTTTTCTTTTTGCTTATGTGGTGCTGAGGAATCGAACCCAGGGCCTCGGGCATGCAAGGCAAGCACTCTACTACTGAACCACCTTCCCAGCCCTCCATGAGACTCTTACCTCCAATTAACCACCAGAAAACCCAAAGTGGTGCTGTGGCTGAAGTGGTAGAGCACTAGCCTTGAGCTGAAGAGCTCAGGGACAGTGCCTCAGCTCAGAGTTCAAGCCCCATGACTGACAAAAAAAAAAAAAAAAAGATATGAGAATATTATGAAATGTGTTAGGTTTAAAAAAAAACTACTTAGATTGGAAGAACTTTGAAGGAATGACATAAACTAAGACTGGAAAGCAAGAAGAATCCAGCTAAGAAAAGAACATTCAAGTAGAAAGGGAAACATAAAATCATAATGGAAAAAAATTTCTTTTTAGTTATAAGGAAATACTCTGTACATCTTTATTGTAATTTTAAGAAGAAATTTTATAATAAAATATGAACTATCAAAATTAACCCAAGAACTTGGGGTGGTGGTCTGCACCTGTAATGTCAGCACTGAGGGAAGTAGAACAATTAATTTAGTCCATCCTGGATTACACAGTAAAGCCCTGTCTCAAAGACAAACAATGTATCAAAACAGCAAATTAAGTAGTAGAAAATTATGTCATATTTGGGACATGTCTATACTAAAATTATTCAGTGTTTATCTGAAACTCAAATTTAGTTGGATATTTTATGTTATCTGAGTAGAGGGGTTATAGGGATGTGTGTACAATAAGAAACATAGGATTATAAAAGATATTTTTTAATTCATCTGCTTTTATGTAGCAAAGTATAATGGAAACACTCTGAAGAATAAACCTCAGTTAAAACAAAATTTGATATTTGAGTTTTCTGAGCTGAACCTGTATAAGACTATCAAGAGATTTTTTTTCTTTTTGAAGAAAAACCTTATAGACCAGAGAATAATATTTGTAAAGTACTGAAAGAAAAATAACTAGCAACCAAAAAACCAAAACAAAACAAAAAAATCTATGTCCTCCAAAACTGTCCCTCAATAGGGAATGAAAAAGACTTTTCTAGATAAGCAAAAGCTGAGAGAATTCATTCATATGTTATCCAAGAAATACTAATGGCAGTTCTTCAAGCTGATGTGAAAATATACTAAAAAGTATAAAGTATGAAACTGATTGATAAAGGTCAATACACAGACAAATATGGAATTGTGCATTCCTGTAATGGTGGTAGCTAAGTCCTTTTTAATTGTTACACAGAAGCTCTTCAAGATTCCTGAGAAGTAAAGTTAATCTAAGGCCAAAACTGATTGAGGGATAGTATTTTACCTGAGACAGGACGATAGGTTTTTGATTGGCTTTCTGGTGTTCCAGATGTGCACCAGTCATTTAAGCTGTTGGAGACAAAGAAGGGAGAAATGAATTTCTGGAAGCCACTCTCATAGCCATTGGACATCTTCAGTGGAGAGGACATATTCCTTAGTCATTTTGTAACCCTCCATTGATTCAGTGATGTCTCCAGGTGCCCATGGGCCTGAAGACAGTGAAGACAACCAGAACATGCCGCAGAACTATCCAAAGGGATGAAGTGGCCAAAGGTTCAGAGCCAAAGGAAAAATCTTTGTCTTTGCTGTCCCAACTCTGGGACCTGGTAGTGGTTCACAGGCCTTTCCTTCTGCTATCCTTAACCACGCTCTGCCTAGCAATTGGTAGTAAGACACTTTTAAATGAGTCCACTTGAGCCCTGGACAACGAGGGACAAAGCAGACTGAGTTCACATCTCAGACACAATACTGCCGGACAGAGATTTTGTTTTTCAGGTCATGTCATTGGACTCAAGGCTGCAGCTTCATTGCATCTGCAGATGCATGGATGACTGTCTGGTGAAACTGAAGATATAAAGCCCACCAAGTGGGTCAACTACTAGCTTCCCCCTACTCCAAGCCCTGGTTTTTGGTGTCTGGTTGGCCTTTCTTCTTGAAGGGATCCTAACTGTAGTGAATAAGATCCCTCTATTAAAGTAAAAAGATAACTAAATGAGATTGAACTGGGGATGTGAGCATTGTATATATCTGTGATCCGGGTACACTGGAGGCATATGTAAGAGGATTATGGCCCAAGACCAGTCCAGAGCAAAACTGTGGCACCCCATCTGAAAAATCACCTAAAAGCAAAAAGAGCTAGAAGAATGGCTCAAGTGGTAGAGCCTAGTGGAGACAAAGCCCTGAGTTCAAACCAGACCAATCCAAAATAGATCAAACCAAAACTGTATTTAAAGAGTGATCTCCTGGAAGAGAAATTAGACTTCTTTGGTATGAGTTTAAAATGCTCAAACCAGGACTAATGGCTAGAAGCAGCAAAAAATTTATTATAATAAAGGAAATGTTAGAATTGTGGTCAATGGAATATGTTGAGATAGTAATGAGTTCTCCTTCATAGTAGGTGGTCAAGGCAAGCTAATCATTATAAGGGCAAGTTCAAGCCTCCATTTTAAAATGCAGCTGAGAAGAAGTGGATAAAACGTTTTTTACAAGTTCAATATAAATCTGCAACAAGAATCAGTTCTAATGATAATTATAGAATACTTTAAAAAACTGAACTGTAAATATTCCTATTGAGTATAATCTGTTAATATCAACATAAATGAGTTTTTTGTGTTTTTAGGGTGGGACCTAGTTTCTTTGATGATGTTATTATTTATGATGCAAAATGTTTCAGGTCAAGATTCATTGTATTTGATGATGCTATATGTCCTGGGAATGTACCAAAGTTTATATTACTTAAAAAAATGATTCTCTACTGAATACATGTACTAAAACCAAAACAAAACAAGTAAGACAACAAAAAATGACTGTGTATCATACTAAATTACTGATTCTAGCTCTAATTACTATATCTTTCTTTCCACTACCATTTCTCATTCAATATCTGTTTTCTGTTTGTTTTTGTGCCCATTCGGCGGCTTGAACTCAGGCCTTGGCATTTTCCCTAAACTTTTTTGCTCAGAAGTGCTCTACCATTTGAGTCACAGCTCTACTTGCAGCTTTTTATAGTTAATTAGAGATGAGTCTCACAGACTTTCCTGTCTGGGCTGGCTTTGAACCCCAATCCTCAGATCTTAGCCTCCTGAGTAGCTACAATTACAGATGTAAACCACTGGTGTTGGCTTCAATATCTTGTGTGTAAAATCCTGGCATTTGATGTTAAACCAATATTCCTAGTGATTTTTATTGCAGATGGTCAGAATATTATGCTTTGAGAAAAGCAAAGAGGAGGACAGAAAAAAAGTTCTGTGTTTTTCCTATCCAAGAGTTTATAAGAATCCTGTAGAACTTCATGCTCAGACAAATTCTTTTAAAAAACAAACATTGACAAATTATTTGTTGTTGTTTGTTCTATTTCAGGGGCTAAAGCCAAAATGAAATTTGTGCTATTTGTCACTGTTGGGCTAATTTTGCTGCTAGGAGTTCAAGCCATGCCTTCAAATCGTCTGTCTTGCTACACAAAGATACTAAGAGATCGCAACTGTCACAACCTTCCAGAAGGAGCAACTGACCTGGCACAGAGGGATATAAACATCCAAGATCATTTCTGGGATGGAAAGGGATGTGAGATCATCTGTTTCTGCAATTTCATTGAATTGCTGTGTTGCCCAAAGTAAGCAAAAAAAAAAAAAAATCACAAAATGTATCGTCATGAAACGTATGCAGAACAAGTTTTTTAATAGCATCTTTAACATGGGTTTGCAGAAACTAATAGCCATTTTAAGTAAAATTTCAAGTCAAATCCCAGCTGTTTTCTAGGATCATCACTATTTTGGAAGGAACTAAATGGTTTTGTTTAAAAAATGAAGTTTGAGCTGGGCATTGGTGGCTCTTGCCTATAATCTTAGCTACTGAGGAGGCTGAGATCTGAGGATCACAGTTAAAAATCAGCCCAGGCGGGAAAATCTGTGAGACTCCTATCTCTACTAAACTCTCAAAAAGCTGTAAGTGGAACTGTGCCTCATGTGTAGAGTGTTAGTCTTGAGCAAAAAGAAGGTTAGGGACAGAGCCCAGGCTATAAGTTCAAGTCCCAGGACTGGCACAAAATACAATTAAACTAAAATTTAATAATAAATACTAGGTCTGGGGGCACATATACGTATAATCTCAATACTGGAGAGGTAGAAGATGGAAGCTTGTGAGTTTGAGACCCATCTGGGCTACCATGTGTCTCAAAAACACAAACCAAACCAAACCAAAACCTAATGTAAACTGGAAAACCAATAATAATTCAGTTTATTAAATTCTACATTCTCCATATGATTTTTACTATAAAAATCTAATTATCATAGACATGAACATCAAATTTAGCTTTGTAGCCAATTTGAAAAGTAATACAAGTTTTTAAATAACAGATGCTAGTATAAAATATCAAGTAATTAACTGGATAGCAAAGATAAATAGTAAAGAAAAATTATCTAGTTCCATATGTGTTCAGAAAGGAATAATGAACTAAATAGAAGCCAGGTTTGGGAACATGGATAAAGTGGTAAAATGCTTAGCAAACTCATGGTCCCCAAGTTCAATCCCCAATAACACACAAACATACACACACACACACACACACACACACACTGTTTTGGAAAGTAGGTGGGTTTTAATTCTAAAACAATAGACAAATAAATATTTTATCTTTTCAATCACTCTGTGATCTTGTCAGGTCCTGGTAGCACTCCTAGCTACTCAGGAGGCTGAGATCTGAGGATTGCAGTTCAAAGCCAGTCAGGGCAGGAAAGTCCATAAGACTCTTATCTCCAGTTATCTCCACCAGAAGACTGGAAATGACACTGTGGCTAGAAATGACACTGTGGTAGAGTGCTAGTCTTGAGTTGAAGAGCTCAGTCAGGGACAGCGCCCAGGCTAAGTTCAAGCCCGAAAGAAAGCAAGCCCGACCGAAAGAGAAATAGAATATGATCTTGAACATTTCATACCAAAGTTAGCTTTTTCAAATTACTTTCAACATGTTGTCATTTCACTTAAGAAATATACAAAATAGAAAAGTTAGTTATGACTATTTAACCAAGAAAAGGTACTGAGACTTGACAAGACCAATTCCATCCCATACACGTAGCTAGTATCAGCAGAGACACAAGCACCCATACTTAGACCACAAAAATTCATTCTGTAAAGTCAGCTGGATCTAAGATAGTATCCTAGAACAGTTAAAAATGCATAACAATCCTACAACCTCATTCAAAACCAACTGAATCAAAAGCTGGAGGTGTGACCCAATACCAGGCTGTAACAAACCTTCTAGGTGATAATGCATGATAAAGTTTCAGCATCACTAAATCACTAAATGAGTCATTTAATTCTCTAAGTTTTCCTACACTACTATTAAATTATCCAAAACCAATTTACTGAAACTGACATGTAATTATTTTATGATATAATTTTGTGACTGTGTTAACAGATGTGAACAGGAATGTGGTTATATATATATATATATATATATATATATATATATAAAATTTCTCCTTCAATTTGTGACACTTTTCTTATTAGCAACAGACTTAAGTACATTTCTAATAGTTGTAATCATAATGACAGCTGGCATACACATACAATTTTGTATTATCCCATGCATTTTATATACTACTTTATGTGTTTTTCCTACCAGAGTTGAGTTGTATTTAAATTTTTTTGTTCTTTCTCTATGAAACCTAGAAAGTTAATGACCTTTCTTTAATTTTTGAAATTTTAGCAAGGATTTATTTCAATATAACAGGATAAATCAGGGAGGAGTATGAAAAAAGAGAGAAATGTTTCCTGCTTCCCACACAGGAAATAGATAAAGGCTTTTATTTAATGGCTTTCTAAGAAATTTTAATATTTGGAAGTGGCACTGTGGCTCAAGTAGTAGAGCGTCTTGAGCTGAAGAGCTGAGGGATAGTGCCCAAACCCAGATCTCAAGCCCCACGACCAACAAAAAAAAATAATTTTTTAAAATATTCTGTTTCTTACCTGTAGATAGATCTAAGCTTAATAGACCATTTCCCATAGCAAAAAAAAAAGTATTATAAACTTTAGAAATTACTTAATTTTTAGCTGGGCGCTGGTGGCTCACGCCTGTAATCCTAGCTACTCAGGAGACTGAGATCTGAGGATTATGATTCACACCAGCCCAGGTAGAAAAGTCCATGAGACTCTGATCTCCAATAAACCACTAGAAAACTGGAAGTGGTGCTGCGCAAGAGGTAGAGTGCTTGCCTTGAGCTGAAGAGTGCAGGGACAGCACACAGGCCCAGAGTTCAAGCCCCATGACCAACAAAAAAAAGAAAAATTACTTAATATTTCCTCTTCTTTATAAACAAGTAATAGCATAAAGATAGTGGCAAATGGGAGAAAGTAGAAGAATCAATTACCTTCCCGGTCTTTGTTGCTCTTCTGGCTAGCTTTCCACTCATCTTTTTAAAAATTTTACTCACTTAGAAAGAACAGTGATATCTGAAACCTTGGGAATCATTTCTTTTTAACCTAGAAAAAGATTAACCCATATCTTAGCTTTCAGTTGAGATTAACCAATATTTTACTTTCTTTCAGAGAAATCTTCTTTGGACCAAAGATATCTTTTGTGATCCCTTGCAACAATCATTGAGAATCTTCATGTGTTCTGGAGAACATCATTCCTCATTCTTACATCAGTGTAAATGTACTTCTGATTTCTACCCAGTGCAATAAAGCATTAATTCTATAAAGTCTTTGTTAACTCATCATGACCATCAGTATAGTTTTAGAGTCTTTATGTTAGGAAAATATAATATATGCTTGCTAAGCACAAACCATTATTAAGTTTTTTTGGATACAGTAATAAGACATGTCCTCTCTGAACTTGTGTTCTAATGAGCTATAATCATTTTAAACAAAGTTGTTAAATGTGAAGCCCATTACTGAGAAGTATAGGTATGAAGGGTTGTGGAGAAAATTAGAGAAACATTCACCACGTGGCACATTTAGGAGACACCATTTTGTGACAAAAAATAACACTATCCCATTGAAATACAACCTTAGATGACCCTGATCTGTTTCTGGAGACCTCAACTACAGTATTATCTGGTATCGATTCAGTGTTCAAATAGGGTTCAAAGAATGTTATTGCACTGGATCAGACAATTTTTTGGCAATCGCATTCAGTTGCTCCTAATGTCTATATAAATTATAGCACATTTTGAAATTCTCTGATCTCTACAAAAATCAAGAAAAAGGGAATTATTAAAAAATTATTTCTTCTAGGTAGCATGGTATTTGTTCTGTCTTCACTGAATTGAATGGTAATAAAGTCAAATTTAATCCATAAAGGAAGTGTCAGATCCTTTCTAGAACAATATATAGGATAGTTAAGAAACTCATCAATAAATGTGTTTCTTTACTGAGGAGAAAGCTGTCAATTGTCTCTATAAACAACACATCAGAAGAAAGGACATGTAAGCCAGCAATGATGTTTTAGAAAATATTCCCTTACAACGGCATTCACAACCTGAGGAAAAATTGCTGTAAAAAAACTAAACATTAAATAGAATTTTATAAATTATAGATTGCTTTTCATCATATTTTTTTGCTTTTTGGAAATAACCAAAATACAAAAAATTATATATATATATTTTTTTTTGTTGTTGTTGTTGTGAAAATACTGTAGAGGGGTTACAATTGCATGGGCAAGATGAGTACTTTTCTTATCAAGCATTGTTGCCTCTTCTTTTGTTTCCCCTTCACATCCCTTTCCATCCTTTCCCCTGTTCCCCTCCCCCCTCCCTCCCCACCCTTTTTTTTTAACCTGTCCTGGGCTTGAACTCTGGGCCTAGAAACTGTCCCTGACCTTTTGTGCTCAAGGCTCCACTTCCAGCTTTTTGAGATTAATTGGAGATAAGAATCTCAGGCATTTTCCTCCCCAGACTGATTTCCAACTGTGATCCTAATTTCAGCCTCCCAAGTAGTTAGGATTACAGGTGTGAGCCACCAGAGCCTGCCTGCAATTATATATTTTTTTAATAAAGGAATGCAATATAAAAGAACACATTCTCTGTGATACCAAATGAATGTAAAAATATAAATGTTCACATAATGTAACTTTTTCTGACTTGGTCAACACATTTTAAAACCAAACATTTCATTCAATTAGTGAGAATATTTTTACAATAGATGTTTGTTTTAAAAATACAACCGAAGTTTTTACGCAACTGCCTACGATTGCATAATTAAGAGTTAAAAAACAAATACAAAGGAAAAAAGCAGATACACGTTGAAATTTCAGTGAACCTTGAAAACATGCTAAGTAAAAGCTACATATAAAATATAGTGAATGATCCCCTTTATTTGATATATCCATTCTAAAAAAGAATGGATAAAAAACATGGAAAAGCAGATTAGAAGTTTCCAGGGCATGGGGTAGGAAGAGGAAGCAATGGATGTGATGCCTATTTTAGGGGGCTGAAAAAAAGTTCTCTAAGACAAAATTAGAAGGAATGACTAATTCTAGATTATTTCAACTTTCAGAACTGTGCTTATCTTTGCTGGCATATTTTTCTCTTTGGAAAAAAAGTGGCCATACAAACTAAATTATTTGTTCTTTCTATACTCTATTATGTAATAATTAGAAAAGGAAATAAAAGTATGCTTTTCAGTGATGTCTTTTAGATTTTCTAACAAGGAAAGCACTTTAATAATGCCATTCTGGTAACCTTAATTTCAAGTCCAATTGTCACAAAGGTAGGGAATCTTTTTTCTGCCAAAGTCCATTGGATAGTTATATATAATGCCATCTGAGGGCCATGCAAAATTATCAATACAGGAAGATGGTCAAGAGTAGCTGAAGTGTATGTACCTGTTCCATCATGCACCAAGTGATTATAAGAGGACCTGTTATAGTAGTAAGGGATCATGTCCCCCAACCCTGTGAGAAAGCAAATGGGTTGCAGCTATTTCTTCTCTAAACCTGTTCATTTCTTGTAATTGAACAAAAAAGGTTACAAAATGAAGCATCTTTATATAAAATCTTATTAATACTGATTGATCCCTACAAGTCAGTGGAAAAGAAAATGCAAGCTTCACAAAATAAATACACACAAACAACTATAATAGTAATAATGTTTATTTAAAATATTTTTAATCTAGGAAACTCATCTTACACGAGTTTCCAACTAATTATTAGTTAGAAACAAAGAAAATAAAACCAGAGAAAAGCCTCTGTAGAAAAAATACACAAGGGACATTTCTACATGTGAAAAAACAGTAAACATTCTTAACATCTGAACATCCAAGTATTAGTCTGAATGCCATGACTCCTAGTGGACACCACTATCAACCTTGAGATCTGACTTGTTCTTGTCATTCTTCACTGAGTAGATGAAATATGTTAAGGTGTCTTTTTCATTCACTGGAATAGACCTAAAGTGGCAACCCACTATCTATAAAGAAAAAGAAATTGAGGAAAGATAATTATTTCATTGAAAGAGCTCTGCAATAAGAAAAACCATTAAAAAAATTAAATTATATTTCCCAAAAAACCAACAAGGCCAAAAATACATAAAAGTAAGATGAACAAAAGACATTCTGATTCCAAAGTACACTTTGGTTCACTTTAAATGTGTAGTGATACATTTTTCCTTTTAAGTTCTATAATTAGCCTTTAGATTCGAAAGCAAATATCTAACTTTTTTAACATTTAACTTTCAACACTAATGCAGTAAAATATTAACATCTATAGGCATCATACTAGATATGATTCAGACATGCATATCTAGATTATAGAAAATTTCTTACTTTTAAAACAGAATTAGTTCTGGAATAACTTTTCTTTTTTCTTTTTGCTTATGTGGTGCTAAGGAATCAAACTCAGGGCCTCATGCATGCAAGGCAAGCGCTCTACCACTGAGCCACCTTCCCAGCCTGGAATAACTTTTTAATGTCAGCTTATCAAAAATTTGAGGTTTATGTTAGTCAAGTTAAACACACTTAAATGAAGCATATTAAATAATCAGTTTCTTGGTTCTCATTTGTGGTAGAACAAAGGTGACTTCATTCTATCAGTCCATATATTTCATCACAGTAAGGAACATAGATTTATGAGTTGCACAGACATACAGGACTACATGTTCTATTATGTTATTTTTTCAATTTGATTGTAGTGTACATACGTAAGTCTATGTCTTAATAAGATGGAGGTTTTTTTTGTTCTATTAGCTAACCCCCCTCACTTAAAAAAATGCTTGTATCTCTGGTAAAACTAACAAGGACAAACTCCTAAACTTAAATTACCAAGTTGTAGACCTATTCCATGTTAAAAATGAAATTCTAATAAAAACCTTCGGTTTATAGGCACTTAATAACTATTTACTAATTAATTGGAAATTTGGATTAAAAAATTTTTATTTAATATTTTGAAAGCCATTATTAGAAGATGCTATACACAAGCCAGATGTACATGGCTCACACTGATAATCCTAGCTACTCAGGAGGCTGAGATCCAGAGATTGGCAAATAGAGGACAGTCAAGGCAGAAAAGTCTTCTAGACTCCATTTCCAAAATAATCAGCAGATACTAGCCTGCTATTATGGCTCCAGTGGTAAATCTCCAGCCAAGCAAGTTAGCCACACAAGTGCAAGGCTCTGAGTTTAAACACAGTGCATGCAAAAAAGAAAAGGCAAAGAAAAAAAGTGCAAACTTGCTATACACTATGTATAATCTATTGAGTAATCATTAAATAAAAGAAGAAACAGGGGGCTGGGAAGGTGGCTCAGTGGTAGAGTGCTTGCCTTGCACGCATGAGGCCCTGGGTTCAATTCCTCAGCACCACATAAGCAAAAAGAAAAAAGCCAGAAGTGACACTGTGGCTCAAATGGTAGAGCGCTAGCCTTGAG